CACTCCCCCCCCCCCCCCTCCCCCGACGAGAGGGAGAGGGGCACACTTCTGAAAGAACAAATTTTAAGTAAGAATAATTATGGGGAAAGAATGTTGCAACCTGACGCCATTTTTTTTTTCATATGTCATCTCCATAATAAACGCCAGTCATTGCAAACATGTTGAAAATGAATCTGGGACTGAGAAACATTTCCAATTTTGTTAGGAAATACTTGGGAAAATTGTCTTGACTCTCCATAGACTTTGTACACAACCGCTTCAGTGGTGTCTGGATACTACATTCTTTCCGAATATGGAATCATAAACTTTAAAATGGTTTTTGTTTAAACAGTCAAAAAAATACCTTGCTTGCGCATAGTGCACTCGGGCTTATGGACAAAGACAAGGCCACATCAGTGAGGGCGCACTGTTCAAGCTGTCTATACCACTGGCTTCGCTTTCTAGGGAGAAGTATTTTTTTCAAGGGTATCTCAGCCCTTGAACCCCCCCCCCCCCCACTTTTATCGATCTGGGTTACAGGAAAATGTCCAGGGTTATACTGAAACTTCATCCTCGCGAGACAGGTATGGGAAATACATGCAATATAAAAGTTTCTTATCGAAAACCCACGTCTGTCTTTCAAAGGAATTAAGATATTTTTTTCAAGAAGCGATAATATCAGGTGGGCTTTTGATGGAGTTTCATTCTGTTGTGGCGTCAGATGGTGGCCCATCATTTGATTTCCAGATGCATATTTTCATAGGGTTGAGTAAATATTTATTTAGCAGTGGGGCAATGCTTATTTTTGCAAGTCGGATTTATAGGGCGGGGGAGCGCACTTTCATGTTTTGTGACAGTCATGTTCTAGCCGACCTATACATGGATGTTGTATAAACAGGCGTAGGGGCGCGATGAGGTCATGGGCCAGAAAGTGCGTGTAGACTGGTGGGATCATCGGGGGAAAAACTGCATACATTTTTGCAAAAAGATCACACCAGTTGAGATCTGTATATCAAACTGTTTTCCAAATGTTCAGAGAAATGAGTTCTCGACTTTTGAAAATAAATGCAAACAAACAAGACCAGACCACTAGTTTTTATCCTGGGGCCACTTGACCAGTTTTCCGCCCCAGCTTTACTAGATAAGCGCAATCTGATGTCTACCCAGGTACCCCATGTAATTGTTTTGTTATTTCTGATTTGATATAATTTTTGTTTGCGCCATGAGCGTCATTTATGGCGGATAATGGCGCGGTATAAATTTCCGTTATTATTATTATTATAATATAGAGAAAAGCTATGATCGTAGTAACGGATGTGAGACAAGGGATGGGTATATCCCCGCCTGACTAAACGGGGGGGGGGGGGGGGGCAAAAAAAGGAACCCGGCCCTTTTTTTCTTTTGAGTGACATCGCAATAAAGGCAGGCACTGCGTACACCACCATCAGTTCCTAAAACAAAATTGGTTAAAGTGGTCAGAAATTGCCTCAGATCGCACCACAGAGCGTATAAGCTATTGCGCCGATACGTAGCGTAACGGGATTTTTTTTTACAAAAAAATACAATGCGCATTTAGATATCGCACATTTTATGCTCAACAGCTCAAGGCGTTATATCTTTATGACCCCTGTTCATCGGGTCCATGAACCTTTGCCCACCTTTGCCCTCACACAGGTACCCATCCTGCGTGCATGGAGACGTGCAATCACTGCAAAGTGGAGAAAAATGTCTTGCCCAAGGACACACGTACACGCACCACGTAACCCCAGGCTGGACTCGGACCCACAACCTGCAGAATTACCGACAGAGGTTGCATGAGTTTGATGCTCCAGACCACGAGGCCAGGGCACTCCACGTTTTGAGTTGGCGCTTCTGTATACTGAACTGGAGAAAAATCTGGTGAGTTTAGAAAAGAAAAGAAGTTTGAGATGGAAAAACACAACTATAAAGGTGGCTGCTGACTCCAAGTCCCACAACTATTTTATAACTTAAATACGCGTTGTGTTTCGATATGGGTATTCAATTATCACTCCCCCTTTTCTTTTGACATATCTTCCAAGTTAAGCAATTACACGGAAAAAAGTTGGTACCCAACAGGAAAGTCCTATAATTACACATCGAGGGCATCCAGGGTCACATAAGGTCAGACAAGTCACCAGAAATGGACTAACCTTGCTGAGGGCCTTGGTATTTTCCCGGGGGTGTCAGACTTTATGAGCTAAATGACTTCCTTGGGCGGCTGAGAAAGCAAGGCCTTTTGTTTAACCCAAACGGGAGGACAAATATACAGGATGTCTAAAAAGACAACCTCAAAGCCCCCTCTTTTTCACCGCTTTAATACCTCGCAAAGTTAAAATTGAATATGTGGAGAGTATAGATAAATAGCTTTTTACCAACAGAAGAATCTTTCCAATCGGGTAAATATTTGTTGAGTTATGGCCCATTCAAAATTAGTGCCGATTTTTGTATCTGTCCATGGTCTAAATCAAGTTTAGTCTTTCGAACAATAAAACTGTAACAAAACCTTGTTTCTTTCTTCTAGCAAAAAAGGGATCATAACATGAAGCCTTTCCACCAATTTTAATATCAACAAACAAAATGCCAAGAGGGTCAACTTTCTTTTGCTCACATGTACTTTCAATCACGTATTGGCGACAACCCCCTCTCTTGACCTCCCACCTACATTTTTGTGTTCATCTTGGTTCCCGCCGCGCCCACATCACATCTTCTAAAAGCCACAAATCTGTTTTTAAGCCCAACATATCACGCAAGGTCGCACCAAAAAAAGTACAACCCTGAAATATGATGTTCAATTTGTAGTCACTTGGTGCTGAAAACGTTCCGTCGTCTCAGAGGTCAATTGGAAGGGCCTACATGTACACGCAACATTCTGTTTGTCCTCGCTCATTGTGTGGAAGTGCAACGTGGTCTTTTTTTATCAGGCATGCAACTTGGAAGAAACAAAAAAAAACGAAAATCCAAACTTTACAATACTTCGTTCAGTGTTTTTCAATTTTTAATGGCATGAAAAACGAGAAAATCAGCTGAACGTTGCATGCCTGTTTTGTGGATGGACCCTCTCGGTCTTTCCAAAAACTCGGCTTCGTTTCCAGCAGCTCTGGGCACGATTAGGCTTCAGAAACTTCTGGAAGCCTCTTGTGCATAAGCAAAATGAACATAATCTAACATGTGGCACATTTCTGTGTAACCGTCAAAATAACTTAATAAGGATCCAATATATACTAAGTCCAAACATGTGGTATTTACCTCAGGGTCCAGAAACTAGAACACAATGCATGGGTTTAGAAAACACCCAATAGGAAAAACGGGGCGATCAGGCAACATCAAGAGATTTTTCATGTTCTTAATTGAAAATCCATGTCAAACTGTTAGAATGCATATGGCAGACATTCCGGTAAGTTCCATGAAGGCAACCACATTCAATGACTCGAGGGGGATTATCAAGGGCGAGACTTAAAACTTCTCTAAGAGGCACGTGCATCGGGAATCGAAGTCATATATCGCGCTTTAAAGCTAAAACTGTTTCATTTTCTGTTGCATTTCCAAGTACGAAACTCCGTGTCATTTTGTGGCAAATATACAGTGAACAAGACAAAGGATGTATACAGTGGCGCACCCGGGGGGGGGGGGGGTGATCGGGGTGCTTGAAGCCCCTCCCCCCACCCCAAGCAGTTGTCAATTTTTTTTGTCCAACGATTTGACCTTGATGGCCGAGTAGTATAATAGGGTGTAAGTGGCGCCACCAACGTCAAAATAGTCCGCCCCCGAAAAAAAACCTTTTGAAAAAAATTGTGAGCCGCCCCCCCAAGTCAAAGCCTGGATGCGCTACTAGATGTATACAAGGAGCTTGACTTTAAAGTTTCCATTTTCGCAGATGGTGTGTAGACCCTATAGATAAAAGAACGCAGGGTTTCGCATATACACGCGTTATTAAACGTAGACTAAAAGCCTAGACAGAAATAGTCTTCATCAATATTTGAGCCAACTAGGTGCTCACCTTTGACATGAACCTGTAACCAGTGTCTGGTCTGAACAGCGGCGTAGCCAGGTTCTCATCACCATGAAGGGGGGGGGCTGAATGTTACGGGGCGGGATTTCTTAGACCCGTACTAAATGTAGTTACTTATTTTCCCGGGGCGACTGAGGAAGCCAAGATTTTTTTTTAAGGAGAGAGCGTGCGCCCATACGCCCCCCCCCCCCCGCCGCTCAGTGGTCTGAGTATTATAAAAGCGTCGGAAAATGCCAATTCATGCACGCTTTTACGAATCGTCCCACGTGTTAAAGCTATATAGCGCCCTCTTTAAGCCAACTTAGAGAAATCGCTGTAAATTGTGATCAGTTGCGGACGTGACGTACTGTATATGCTCTTATTGGATAAGAGTGGCAAGAGGGCGTAGCCGTATCTTGGTGCTTGCTTTCATTGGTTGATTGTGGTGCTCGTCGATTTGTCGTTGCCAAGTAGGCGTGGTCTCAAATTTGCCCGCTCTCGTTGGTTGGTTGGCAAGGCGGCGCGCAATTTATGTTGCCGAACTAGGCTATTCTTCGCTAAAAGTCCAATGGATAATTTACCATGAAAGGTACTTCGTATAATAGCATTAATTGTAGGTATAGTTTGGCGGATGTGTGGAGTATTTTGATGTCCTAATGAAACGCTTCATTCCACAGAATCAGAGTGAATCGACGTATTATTGTGTCAAGGGAACTACTTCAAAACGAACTTTTCCGAAAGCTGGTTCACAACGATAAACGGAAGTTTTCAGCTTGTAGGCCCCCATAGATTTTCTGGGAGTACACTATTTTGGACTGAAGCAACCTCTAAACCAGAGTTTTGAAAGAAGTACAGTGACCCAAAACTTGTTGGTGTAAATATTCAGCAGATTGAAAATGAGATATTCGCTTGATCCCGGGAACGAGGCTGGACTAAAAGTAGCCTATATGTTCCCCCAGACAAGGTGACAGTAAACTTTATAAACTGGAAATCATGAAGCCACATTAAAATGGACACTTCTTGCTGATTCTCTTTAATGGAAAATCAGCTTAAGGGTGCATAACCCCATTATTTCAATAATATTTTGAAAAACAAGATTTAAATATCAGGTCATATTTCATCATCGATGATTAAAATGGTTATTATAATTTGGAATAACTTTGATTACAATAAGTGGTTTCAAACTTCTTGTAAGTTCGACCTGTTTAAAAAAAAATGACAAAAATCTCTTACGCAACAATAGCCTGTCAAATAAAAAAAAATCATCAACAAATAACTTTGAATACAATAAAGTGTGTTCAAACTTCTTGTAAGTTGTACCCGTTTATAACAAAATGACAAAATCTCCTAGGTAAATAGACTGTCAAAAAAACCATAAACAAATAACTTTGAATACAATAAGTGTGTTCGACCTTCTTGTATGTTGGGCCCCATTACAAAAAAATTACAAATTCTCCTACGTAAATAGACGGTTACACAAGAAATTTCATAAAGAAATCAATAATCAAATTTTAGACGGGACATCATCTGGCATGCTTTGCATATTTTGTCTGAAATATACGGATAAGTAAAATCCATGAATTTAAAAATAACTATTACATGGAATATTACCTAGAACCGTATTTCATTTATAAATCTAATAAAAAGCAAATCTCTTAATGGTTCTTGACAAAGGGCACCGGATGAAAAATACAAAAGAATTTCAAGTTTTGAAGAAACAAAAAAAATGAAGAGGTTAAACTAAAAATGTTAACCGTTAGGTATCATACCGTCATACGGACATCCCCCCCCCCACCTCCCAGCGGATGGACTGTGCTAACCTTGGACCACTTGTGGAATACTCAGAACAAAGGGAACAGAACCCACTAGGAAAATCTTTAGAAGAAAAGGGGCACCCCACAACGAAATCTTTAGAAATAGGGACATACAGACAACAATTATGTTCCTGGAAGAATTTGAACAGACAGCACTCCTTAACAGCTGACCAGAAACCGAGTGTGTGGCTCCGGTATGTGGATGATATCTTCATCGTGTGGCTGCACGGCACTGAGAACCTCCATCTGTTTCCCAGCAGATGGGAGTTCTGGGGTAGGAGCATTGTTGTCCTTTTATCCCTTTTCTTAAAGATTTCACTTGTGGGGTACCGTTTTTCTAAAAATTTCACTTGTGGGGTGCCGTTCCCTTTGTACGAGTAACCCACAAGTACCTCTGGTGTGTTACGGTCATACAGTATTAAGGACTGGTTAGTGTCTCCAAAGGCTTCGTTTAGGCGACACAAAAATTACAAATTCTCCGACTTAAATATACTGTTAAACAAGACATTTCATAAACAAATAAATTTGAATACAATAAGTGTGTTCATGGGCCTACCTTTTGTAAGTTGGATGATCCGTTTACAAAAAAAAATAATACAAATTCTCCTACGTAAACAGACTGTTACACAAGAAATTTCATAAAGAAATCCCTAATCAAATTTCAGATTGCTTCGCATAATTCTAAAATAAGTAAAATCCATGAATTCAAAAATAAACACGATATCAATGTTTTTGTTATTACCTGGAACAGTATTTCACTTATCAATATAATAAAAAGAAAATATCTTAATGGTTCTACGCAAAGTGCACCGGAAGAAAATGTAACAAAATTAATTTTTTGAAGAAAAAAAAACCCTGATAAAATGATGTTGAAATATATCTTTTCCTTCCACCATTGAAAATATAAAATCCGATTTAAAAATATTGTGGAGATATGCGTTTCTCCTTTCCTGCAGAAGAATAAACTTAAGCTGCAGATTATTTCAAGAAAAAATACAGGGCTGAAAATTTTTTTTTTACACTTTTTCAGAGGCATATTTTTTCAAAATCGAAGAGACATGTTGAAATTGATTTAAAATATTCCTAAACTACAAGCTCTTGGTCATATGTGGTGAAAACGGCGTTGAAAATAAAGCTCAAGTTAAGAAAAAGCGGCTATATACAGAAGAATGGTCAAACATTTATTTGTCCATTTTTACGGCAGTCATGTAGACCTTATTACAATTGTTGCAGTTTGTGCGTGCTGTGCTATTGTGTTGACCACATCTCATAGGCATGGTTCAAAGAGATGACGAATGTAGCTTGTGCAATTTGTCCGTTTTGTTTTCTTCCATCAATCCAGACGTCATCTCTAGGGCCTAGACCTTGGCCAAAGCTTGCTCAAGATCCCGGATCAGGTCGTCGACATTCTCTATGCCAACACTGAAACAGAGAACAACATACGTTAATTGTAACTGAGAAGTGGGAAGCAACTCTCGATTTCAAAGATGGCACAATGTAAATCTAATGAAATTGGAGGTTTAAACGCCCCCCCCCCCTCCTTTTTATCACTCGGAATTGATTGTTGTTATGACATCTGGATGCTGTGTAGATGCATTCATGCTTAGAACAGATGCAAAGATCAGTGCAGTTGTTTATCCTTGTTCCACTGAAAACAAAGGATTTCTTCGGGACCCGATGAATAGATTTAACATCGCGCATGCTAAACCTAATCCTTAGATGGAATTTGCGTCGGGTGATGCAAATTTACGTTCACCGATGTATACTTTATACTCAGTGTGTTACCCCCTGAGTGAAAGTGGGAAAACATCACTCGGGTGGGACTCGAACCCACGACCTCCTGCTTTCTAGTGCAGACGTCTTACCACTTGATCACTGTGCTTGCCAGGGTCGGCTGGCTGCTTCGAATCTGATGTATTCAATCTTACAATCGGTGAAGGGCAAAACATAATACACTAAACCTGTTCTTTTATGAAATAGGTGTCAGTTTATCTGACTCCGCGTTGGTATTGGGAAAAAAGTACAGGTGACCCATTTGGGTTTAAACAATTGAAAGTCACAGGCATAACATTGACACCCTTACCTGAATCTGATGAGGCCGTCCGATATGCTCCCTTTCTGCCTGTCCTCGGATGTCATGAGGTAAGGACCGTGGGTCATAGTAGCCGGATGCTCGATGAGGGACTCGGTGGAGCCAAGGGACACAGCAAGGGTGATCAGCTTCACCGACTGAAAAGTCAAGTGATTAGGGCCTATAGTCTATTGACTTGTGGCGTTATAGTAATAATAATGATAATGTGGTGCTTATACAGCGCTTTATACGAAGGGTCTCAAAACACATTTAACCCCTTTTTACCGCAATTGTTACCCCTGTTCATCTGTTCATGAGGCCAGTTTTTTCCTCAACCAACTCGAGATGAGTGCAATTTGATCTGTACTTCCTTAGCGGAGAGAGGCGAGTGTAGTAAACTGTCTTGCCCAAGAACAACCGCACCATGTTCCTCCTCAAGGTTCGAGAGCAAGTGGCATTTTGCAGTCTCTTGTTGCACAGGAACTTACCTCGACCAGTGTCTTGGCGGCTTGCAGACCGTCTGCAACCTCGAAGACGACCATTCCACCGAAGGCCGACATCTGTTTCTTGGCTACCTCGTGTTGGGGATGGGACGGCAGGCCAGGGTAGTACACCTTGCTGATCTGAAGAAATGTCATGAAAAAGATATAGGTGGTAAAGCTTCCCAAAACACAGATAATACAACAGGCAAATAAGGGAAACGTGAAAAGGGAATGATCTTTAATTACCTTGGAATGCTGTTCAAGATACTGTGCAATCTTCAGTCCGTTTTGGCTGTGCTTCTCCATCCGTAGGGGCAGTGTGCGCACACCGCGCAGCAGCAGGAAAGCATCGAATGGCGACTGCGAGTGGAAGTTAAATAAGGCATAAGGCGGGGATTTTTATCTTAAATTAAAGACTACTCCCAGAACAAAATACGGAAATCACCAGAGTTGTAATAAAGTCACTTTAAAAGTCATCACAAGTCATCCAGTCTCAAGTCAAGCTATTCAAATGGACTGTGACAAAGGAATTTCTTTGCCATTGTTCATCTCTTGCGACTTGTGAATTGACTTGTCATTCAATTTGTGATTGACTTGTGATAGACATGATTACATCTCTAGAAATCATAGTACAGATGTCTCAAGTCTGGACATCATTTTGTAAAATCATCGCGTCAGTGCAACAAGGTCGTAACTCCATTCTGTAACAAAATCGTATCTCGCGCGAATACGCTCCGTGCAACAAGGTCGTATCTCGACATCTATTGACTTTGCGTATACATCCCGGTTATTTTAAGCGAGATACGACCTTTTGACCTTCTGAAACTTGCATTTTGCGATCATGCCATTTTAGGAGATACGACCTTGTTGCACTGACGCGACGAAATTTGAAAACAAACCAACCAAAAAATCTTAAAAAGTGGGTAATTTCATGCTATTGGTGTCACATTCTATTTGTTGAGGCCGCTTTTGTGGTTTGCCGAAAATTCAAGGAAAATTATTGAAGGGAGGAATTTGTAATACAGGACTGGAGCCCTCTACTAAAGCACCTTCGATCTGAGTGACTTACCAGACAGTTCCCTGTCTGCCTCAGGAACTCACCGACCCCAAACAGAATCTCCTCATCCCTGGTGCTCATGGAACCAGCCACGATGTCACTGTGACCTCCTATGTACTTGGTACTGAGGACATGGCAAGAAAACAAGGACTATAGGCAATAGACCATTATCATGTTGCGGCCATCTTGATTTTTGCCATTCAAATCACCGTTAACCAAAATGAGGCCAGAAGGTCAAGTAGTCTGGTTCCTTTTTGAACAAAAAACAAAATCATTCAGTACTGTTATTGGATACAGGGAACATGGCTGAAATGGTGGCAGCATGATAAAGGCCTACAGACCAAACCTTCAGCCCCCCCCCCCTCGTGGTGCTTTGGCCAACCACAACCGTGACTAATATCCGACATGTGTGCACAAAAATGCCGACATGGGTGCATGCGTGTATGATGCCCACTGCTGGAACATGCAGTGTGGCATTGGAAAGGCGCACCTGTTTGGGTGCACCTGTTCAGTTTGGTGGGCAGGGCTTCGGTCTATTGACCCCATACAGGATAGGTGATGACCACCCACAAGAGCTCCAGTGAAATTTAAAACAAATACATAAATATGAAAAATATACAAGCCAACAAGTCTGTCCCTTACCAACTGTTTATTGAAATGTCCACTCCAAACTCCAGAGGGCGCTGCACACACGGCGAGCCGAAGGTGGAGTCCACTACGCTGATCGCCAAGGGAACGGTCTTGGCGACATCAGCAAATGCCTTCAAGTCGAGGACGGCCAGGCAGGGATTGCATGGGGTCTCCCCGTAAAATATCTGAGGAAACAAAAGTTCAACAATTGCAAGAAAATGTTGGCTGAGCATTTGAGTTCACTATACAAACTTTGTTTTCCTGCCAACAACCTGTTAATGAAGTCTGAGGAAAAATATTTGAAAATTCCATGGAATATGGAATATTTTTGATAATATTGATTTTTTTGATTTGGATTATAAAAATGGGGGATTGATTTTCAATAACAGAGTAGCACTTTCTCATTGTAAGTAGCTGAAACTTTTAATTCATCAAATACTACATACAGGAGATATTTTTTTTATATATGTATGTTCTGTGCACTATAATTTACAAATATGTTTCTAAAAAGCAGATCAACATTTTCTTCCGGTATAAAACATGGACTTTTGCTTTTGCTCAAATAAAAATTGAATTCTAAAATTGAATTACTCAAACTCAGCATTGCTGAGATGGAAACATTCATCTCAATATAATACATGTAAATTTCTAATTTCTTTACATACCTAAGACATGAAATCCCTTTTTGTGGTTAATTTAATTGAACATTGCACTTCTTTAAACATTACAAAAATCTTCCATGCTATTCGGAATAACTGAGGGCGCTATCACTATGATGTAATTCCAGGAAGACACTGTTCAGTTTAGGAGTGTTTTGTTCAAATTATGAATCCAAAATTTGCTCATTGAAAACATTTGTGAGAAAGGGTTGCTCATTGGCTTACTGCCATGTCCTTGCACAACAACGAATCACCAACGAAAAGAAAATTTATTAACAGCAAAATATCCAAAATTGTAGCAACTTTTTGTGCTGAAATAGATGCAACATTGAGGTTTCTGCCCAGAACGACATTACAGTTTAGCTCAAGAATAATTGCCATTCGCATAAAAACCAAGAAGGCACCAAAATACCCTTTAAAATGGCAACACAAAAATTGAAAATAAGGTGAAATGGGACACAAGGGTGCATTTACAATGATTGCATTAACAAAAAATGACATTGCATGGGCCCTTTTAACCCTTGAAATAGAATGAGAATGACAAGATAAGTTTGCGGTGACACCATGTGAATAAATCTCTTTTGTGAGTACGTGTGGTTCTGAAAAGAACCAGAGGGACTCAACGTTTCGAACAGTGTGCTCTGCCCGTCGTCAGGAAAATGAGGACGAATGAGAATTAAAGAAATAGTGGGACACATGATTGATAATCACCTTGGTGTTGGGTTTGATGGCTTTTTTGTACTCCTCAATGTCGCATGCTTTGACGAACGTCACCTCGATGCCGTAGTTTGGCAGCACGCTTTTCATCATGGCATACGTACCAGAATAGGCTGAATCTGGTGCAATCTGAGATAGTTGTTCAAATAACAAACACTCAAAAATGAAATGATAAGCCATTGGGGAAAAAAGTTGCCATGGGTTGGTGATTAGATAAAATTTGATATCAAACCCTGAAGTACATGTGTGAGCAAAGCCAACAAGATGAAATCAACAGCTGCAAGCGCTTGGGTTACAGGCCGTTTTTAAAAAAATATAAATACTACAGCGTACTGTACATTCTTTCTATGGCATTGGAAAACTCATATGACATGTATGAGAAAAATATCATTGAGACTCAAGTTTGGGAGATCCAGACTCATTTCTCAAAACTTGTTTGGATCACACTATCAATCGAAAATAGAACCAAAAAATCTTCAAATGTACTTAAAATTGTTTGTCACTAATGCAAGAATTTTTAGATTTATTGTGAGCACTAGGTTTCTTACAATACACCATATATTTAGTTCCATCTCAACTTGAACATTTGAGGTAAATTGTGCTGGGAAAGGAAAACATTTCAAACTTTCTTCTCAGCACAAATGAAAAAGCCACACACAGATGTCTAAGCTTTAGGAGAAACAGGAGTGTGAAGGAATGTATAACATTAGTTATATAATTTCCCCTTAAAAATTGCTAGGCCCCAAAATGGCGCTTAAAACCACTTCGCGCCGGGATTATTTTTGCCCCAAATTTCAATTTTTCGCACAAGGCAAAATTTTCCAGCCAACTTCTGATGTAGGCTACAGCCAAACGCCACAAACATTAATTCGCAAGACTCATTTCAACAGGATTTGTACAATATTTCTTGCCGAAACCTCATGTTTCAAAACTCCGGGGTGTGCAATGGAGCGTAAATTATACAACAATAGGCCGTGTACAACGGCCAAATCAAGATCAACACACAGTCCGCCTCCACAGACTTCACAAACTTTGTGTGTGTGTACAAAAGACACGAGGGATTAGCATGTTTATGTGTCACAACCGGAGGCGAGTCGAGGCAATCTTGACGTCTTAACCGGTCAGTCGCACCTTAAGCCAGTGCGTGTTATCACGTCCTCTGCCGACACGAACTGGTTAAGGACTATGTGAGTGTATATTACTTCTGGATGGAAGGGCAATGTATTCGATTTCTGTACTTTCGAATGTTAAGCACACACAGGTCTTCATCAAATTATTAAAAGCCATAGGTCATTTAACTTTATATATACATTACCACATGGTCGCCGGTTTTAAGCAGAGCCAGTAGAGTAGTCGCGATGGCTCCCATGCCGCTTGAGAACACCAACGTGCCAACACCGCCCTCTAGTGAATTGATGGCATGAGCGGCTGAATCGCAGGAGTGGTTCGCTAGCCTGCTGTAGATATAGCCATCCTAATAATGAACATACCAGACATGCACTTATTTTTTATTGGCCTATGTGACCCAATTTTAAATTTTTTTGAGGAGGGTGGGGGAGATTGCTATTCAGGTCTGCTATGCTCTTTTCTTTTGCCCACCAGAATTTTGAACTTAAAAATCAATTATGGTCATGTAATTCACAACTTCTATTATTCCATAAATTCAACTCAGCAAAGCGAAGAACAACTTTGACGATCAAACTTAAATTGTGCTACCTACATTTTGCTGTAAAGCTTTTCAAGTTAAATTTTGCAAAATGTTATGCAAAACATGAATTGGGTTGATTTGCATGATATATTTGTACAATTTTGCCTTCCTGCTGAGCAGTCGAGCACAAAATAATATGTGCACTTGTAAGCCAGAACAGTTGGGTGACATTTTACAATGTATAAAACTACACCTTCAATATACAACGGACACTAAAATGAAAAGAAAGGTCCTGCTTATATTAAGAAAAAAAAATCAGTCTTTGTGTTATGTTGATTTTTTCCTTGCTTTTTTTTTTTGGAGTGGGGGGGGGGGGGAATGAGGTCCCAGATATGTTTGAAAACTGGGTCAGTACGTGTCTGAAAATGGGACTGTCTGAAAAAAAGAAAAAAAAACAGGTAGTTTTTTTTTCAGCCAAATCGTAATTAAATAATTGTCCATGCCATTGGCCAATGAATTTGTCTGTGTGCCTTGACTGATGCACCGACTTCACGAAGAATTTCCTGAAAACGCCAGATGTGCTGGAAACTACTTATGTCGAAAGTTCACTAACCACGATCAAAGTAATCAAAAATGATTATATATCAAACGAAATGATAACTAGTGGAAAGTAAATGCATTAAACAGCCAGCTGTACTGAATGCGTAAACAAGCTCCAGATCGGATCTTGGAGGCTGCGGGCTGTGACGAATGTGTGTTCACACTGATTGTTGGTTGGATGACTGTTAACATTTCTCTCACGAATTACCACATAATATATAATATACTTTGGCACTTGACCTTATTGTGACCTTTAACCCCATAGCTGTAGGTCAGATGAATAGGACACCATGGACATTTTTTAATGTATGACCAAGGCCAACATGTTGACACTTAAGGCCAAAAAAAAATAAGTCGGCCTCTGGTCAGCGTGCACGTCGATTTTAATCATGCGCGTCAATCTTTTTTTTTTCCAAAATGTTCCGCGGTAGCTCCAACAGCGCCCTTTATTTCCGCACCTCCTCAATTTTTTTACCGAAGAGCACCAAGGAATGGGAAATTGCACCAAGGCAAATGATCGAAAGCACCAAGGCAAATTATGGAGGACACCAATGTACATGAGGACACCAAAAAAGCAAAATAGTACCCCACCTTGTCTGTACAATCCAAGCTTGAAGAAAAAGCAAAAAAACCCCAAAAAAACGCGTAGCCGCGTCAATTCTGGAACTTTGGTCTGACCAGAGACCGAATATTTTTTTTTTGTGGTCTAACAGCACTTCTTTTGTCATTTGATTTTGTCTTGCATGTTTTTTTTGCACTCGAGGTCCTAGCCTGGGGTCTAACTTACAATTTACAACACAATTTGATGGCACTGCGCAGTTTTGCTGCAAGATACTGTGAGAGTTGAGCAGTGACAAGATGTTAGACCCAAGTCCCTGAATGAAAAAGACAGCTTACTCTCAAACATTCCATGTACTCGTCCACTTTGTTGATGCTAAACGTCGAGGCCACACTGATGGAAGGCACCAGGGGCGTAGTCAACTCCAGGCCCTTCAGCTTGGACTGGGAGCACACGGCCTTCGTCTCAAGACTCGTCTCCGAGTCAAACCTGTGCATCTCCTCATCCCGACGCAGCTCTGTCTTCGGGTCCTTGATTCCGCCCGAGTCTTGGAAGCTGGAGGGAACCCTCCGAGGTTTTGGAGCATCTTCCATCTTTGGGGTTTTCTGAATGAGTTTTATGCTGAGAGGTGCTCAAGACGATCTGCATTTTTTCATAAATATCAAAAGCCTCACTAGCATTGTCCATAAAATAGCTTTGAATACCTAGCTTTAATAGGCTCATTGGAGACAGTAGACTGACAAATATCCCATGTCATGAACCTAGAGCTAGTATTCCAATCTAGGGCCAAATACTTTCTGTGCGAAAAAAAATTTGGACTGAATTTGTTCCAAAAAAGGATGTTTACATGTATTCACACAATTTAACGTTGTAAAAAAGCCAATATTTAAACTAAAATAATCCCTAAAGAGTAAAGGTAAACTTGTAAGACAAAAGTCATCTGAAACTTGCAGAAAGAATGAAAAAAAAAACACCCTGAATAAGGCCAAAAAAAAAAATCGGTCTCTGGTCAGACCGAAGTTCCGGAATTGATGCGGCGACGCCCTTTTTTTTGTGGTTTTTTTTTTTTTTTTTTCAAGCTTGAATTGTACAGACAAGGTGGGTACTTTGCTTTTTTGTGCCCTCATTATACATTGGTGTTCTCCATAATTTGCCTTGGTGCTCTTTATCATTTGCCTTGGTGTAATTTCCCCATTCCTTGGTGCTCCTTGGTACAAAAATTTGAGGAGGTGCGACGATAGAGGCCGCTGTTGTAGCTTCCGTATTAATTTGAAGAAAAAAAAAAATCGCACGCGCGCTGACCAGAGACTGGAGTATTTTTTTTGGGGCCTAACTAAAGAAAAACACCTAGGCCTAATGCCTTTCCAAAAATTTTCGGAGGCAAATCTTAAAGTGTCATTCTCAGACATCCCTGCTATACTATAAAGAAAAAAGGGTTTACGTATTATAATGTGTGTGTACGTTCACGAGTTGTTCAGGCTGCCCATGGGCATGCCAACACCGCACTGCACGCTGCAATACACCCCCATGCACACACAACCAAGTGCACCCGCACCTGCTATCATGGACCCCTATTGTCCCTCTTTTGTTTGTACTCCAACTTTTTTTAGGAAGATCTCCCATATGTTTTGTACACGATCGTCAATTGTGGGACTTCGAGAATTGTGGACCCTATTGTCCTCTATTGTTCAACATCCCCTATTGAATTCAAAAACAAACTCACAGGACAGCCAACAGGCAATAAAATACACAGGCAATAGATGGCAATACAATATGTAGGGCACTGCCCAGTGCTGACCCGCAGCAAATGGCCATGAAATGCAGTCTGCAGTGGACGCCCACTTTGTTTTGGGGATATTTTTTACCAAAATATCCCCAACCCACACCCACGCACAGAAAGTTGACAGGACAATGAAAATGAACTCCAACCCGTCCCGCCCAACCCTCCCCCATGTCCCATATGTTTGTGCATCTAATTTCTCCGTCAAGGACAACCATAGCCCCATAAATGTGGCCTATTTACTGGACTGCCTATGTTTACGGAGGCAGTCCAGTAAATAGGCCACATTTATGGGGCTAGGACAACCATAGTACGTATTGCTGTCATGTCCCCAGTTTCCAGTACAAGTCATCATAATGGCTACAAATCATGCACGGATACGGGTACAACAAACTACAAAGTTATTCAAAATGCACTGTGGTAGGAATACTCCAAACTTGTTGCACTTCACACAGAAAAATAACTTTGATCAGGTACTCCTAGACCCGTGAACGTGGCTTGTAAACTACGCCACGTTCACGGGTCTAATCAGGTCCATACTCATGACGATACTGTTTACTTTTTGTTATCAACCTCCTCATTCGCTTCTAAAATAGTTTGCAACAAGACAGAACACACAGTGCCAATTGTATAAATTCGATCGAAAGGGAACTAAGCAACCTCAAACTCAAAGTATGGTACCATGGAGGAATGTGTTCTTATTCCTCCATGATGCATGATGGTACTTACCAAAAGTGCTAGTTGTGCAAGTGTAATGTGCTGTTGACCTAGTTGGGAACAAGCAGCTGGACGGCCGTGGCCGGCCGTGGGGCCGGGATCTTGCAAGGTCAGTAAATAATAGACTGGATTCCAGTCTCTCCATATACTTGTGAGCGTGGAGGAATAAGACATTCACGTAGACTAGCCTTGCTCAAGGCGTTCGGCCTTAGTGTCCCATGATCGATGATCGGCCGCTAAATACGTAGACCCCTAACACAGCATGTATAGGGTGAGTAAAAAAAAAAAAGGCGGATTCCCGGCGAACCACAAGAAAAATATTTCGTATTTTGAAAAAAATGTAGCACCAAAAATAATTACGACTGGTAAGCCAATTCAATACTACTTTTAGATGAAAAAAAAAAAACTTCAATTGCTCAATCCGTTCAAATTATATCACCATTTAAATTAACGAAATGACAAAAATCAGTTTCGTTAAAAAAAACCCAAAAAACAATTTATTGTGTGTTCTGAATGTTTGGAACAACAAAGAAAATGACAGAGATTTTTTGTTTCAACAACTGTTGTACATCATATCTTTACTAAAAACCCTGCCTTGGCTAACAATAGGATTTATAAAGTCCACTTTTTTTTTTAAAGACGGGCCTTCAAAAGGACTTTGTTGAATTTTTTTAACTTTTAAACTGAGGTCTCATCGCTGGTGATGCTCGAAGACAATTGTAGCGACAATTCTTGAAATCGCATTTTTGGACGAAACAAATTGATTGGTCAATTCGACTGACATGTTCAAGTTTTTGTAAAACAACAACGCCTTAGCTTAAAGGGCTCCATGACATGAATCTTACTTGGGAACATAATTATTTTGTGCAACTTTCTACTCCTCTTAAATATATGAAATCTATTTGACACCCCTTTTTAGTTAATTTTTATCTAAGAGTGCACTTTTTTTTAACATTAAAAAATGTCCATGCTTTTCACCAAGGCTAGTCTCACCACTGTAGTTATCAGGGGTAGTGCCCTCGAACTTTGCTTGGACCATTATCTCTTTTTTTGTAGATACACTTTGATTCTTTTTAGAGTAGGCTTATATATATAATAATAGTTTCTACTGTGTTGAAATGAATTTGTAACATCAGCGATTACGTCATTATGTTCAGCAGGACTTATGGGAGTTTGTAGTTTTATAGGCTTACAACCGCTCCTGCATGCCCAACTCTTGGGCCGACGGTCACTTGTCCAAAAGGAACTAAAGCAAACACACTGCATTCTTTATAGTAAGTTAATTTGATAGAATGTTTATTTTATTTTCTCCCTAAAATTCCCCGATTAACTAAAAAACAAATGTTTAGCTATAAACCAAGCCAAAGGTGAATGACAGACCGGTTGCGGAAAATGACCGGTATGTTTGTTTGGCCAAAACTTAGTATGCAACCCTGTACCAATATTGGCAAATACATCGATTGATCAACAAATAAGAATAATAAAGGAGTTTCGGAAAAGTTCGAAAAAGAACGACATAAGGGTTAAAGTAATCGGCCTGTGAACTTTTTTATTAGGCAGCCGTAAAGATTCGGATTTGAGCATAAACAAGATTTGTCGGTCGGTTGTATGTTAATAAATTACCGGTGTGGCAGGTAATTCTGTCCCCCGGTAAAAGTGTCCGGGGGGACAGAATTACCTAGGTAAAATTGTCCTCCCTGGCCCGTTAATTCTGTCCCCCTCCAGATAATTCTGTCCCCCCCCCCCCCAGGTAATTCTGTCCCCCTCTTTTAAAACCCGGAAGGTTATTGTTTTGATGAATTCACTCTACAAGGTATACATTTTGGACTTTTAGTCTGCCCTTCATGAATATAAAAATATTTAATTAAGTCTATTAGATGATACGTGAACACAATGTTTCGATTCGGAATACAGTGATTAAGAGTCTATCGCGATTCTACCGCGATAGTCCACACAGCGGCATTCGTATAGGTCAAAGTATAATATGCCCAAGTTTCAAATCGTGATTTGATATTTTTAAAAAACTCTTCGAACTCTAAATAGAAAAAGGGCTCATTTAAACGAGGTACGATCAGTGTTGTAAAGGGTTCCGTTTTGAAGGGGGGGGGGACTATAGGAGGCCTCATTTTCCTGAAGGGGAGGGGAGTATTTTATTGACGATAACAAAAACCCTCGCCTCGTTTATTGCCTCCCCTAAATGCTGAACTGAAGACCCAAGGAGAGGGGGCTCATGCTTCGAGTGGGGATTGGGGGGTGGGTCTCCCCATGGTCCTCCCAATACGCCACTGGATTCGGCATTGAATGATTTACAATTGCGCCCTCTGTTGATAAGATGTTCATCTTTTGCATTATTAGCGATGATGACATCTGTGGCCTTTTGCAATCGAAGGCCGCCCTCTGTTCTGGTCAGAGGCCTTGAAATTTGGCTCAGTGCTTCCTGCCTATCCAAGGGACCTCTAATTCCATTGATTGAAGCCAGGGATGAAAGTGAACCAGCGCGACTGTTTATTTCCTAAAACTTTATATTTTTCTTTACGTCGCCGTCGTGCATAAATTAATGATGCTTTAATCACACGGGAATGTCCAATTCTTGCAGCCACTTTGCTGTATGACTTCATCGAACTCGATCAGACCATCTATTGTTCTATTGTCTGTGGTGACTCCATTACATTAGCTGCCGAACGATTCAAATCTGTTTAAGATCTTTTACTTCCCCTGCGTTTCTTCATTGCCGAATATCGACTGCTGATTAAAATTATTAATCATACAATAAGCCACTTCGCTATTCCAACTGCGCATGTGCACATCAAGATTTGACGAGTTTTCTTTCGCGGTAAACATTTCATCGTATGCTAGCAAAAGCCTAGCGGGATACCAGCAAAATTGAAGAGAACGTCGTGTTCTGAAGTAACATTTAGCAAAGAAAAAGTTTGGACAGCGAAGTGTTTTTAGGTGTCTTGTGTGTCCAAACTTTTGTGCGAGAAAGTTTCCATCTCTTTTCGATTGCACGAACAATTACACAGAATGCAGATTCGGTTATCACGTCCCCCATAGCCTTGTGTGTATTTATCTGCCGCGTTTATCCCGAACAAAAAT